AAATTGTTGATTAAATCTAGATGTCTTCAATTACATCACGATGACTACAAGGGTCTTTTTTAACTTCATCATTTTTCATTTACATAACAACCGAAGAACCATTCTCAGACCACTTGAATTTACTGAAATGTGAGGATATTTTATCGTGGCCTGGTCCGGACCGAGAACGGAACGCTTTATAGTGGCCTGGTGTAAAATGGGCTGAAGATCTAATGTCAGACCCAGTTTAATGCCACTTTCTACGCATGCCTGTGACATGGTACGGTCGTTGCTTGAAGGGGGATAACTATAATTATTTTATTACATGTATCTTGTTAAAAGTTGATAAGGAAATAATACATGATAATAAATATACAATGCTTATAATCTAATGTTATTAATATATTGATTACTGTACTTTAATGTTAGAGTTTTCTTGTTAACAATATAACATGCAATATAAACACTATGTTAATTTGTTAATTTAGACCTTCATGAACATAATATATTCATGTAAACATTTATTGTTTTTTTATATTATGTTATTAATAGTGCTAATAAAATAATAATTGGGATTAATTGGTATTGATAAGATATTCTCAATGGAACGGGATCTAATTTACCTTAGATAAGTAAATTACTTAGATTTATATTTCTAAAATAACTTACCAAACGTTTAGTGTTAATATAATTCTTGCCAAATATATCCTGAAATACAAATCTACAAATACAAATCTAGCTCAACTTATCTTCAAATCCAAAACGTCAAACACAAAACTATAGCCTACCACCAGCAAGAACCAAGAGTTCGAACTTTTGGTAGCTATTTAGATTTTTTAGAAAAAAATGTGGTTTGACCAAATGAAAGCTTTTAAAAATAGGCGTTTTTTGACGTAAAATGTTCTTATTCCCGAATTTGTGCACGACCTTTTGCGCAATGTTATTTTCGATTTTTTTGTCTTTTCTAACCAAATTTGAACAGTTCGGGAATTCGGAAATGTACACCCACCGCTCGGCGTAGAATTTTGATTTGCCCACAATGGCACAAAGGTGTATAGTAGACACCAAACCAACAAGAAAACGAGCCAATTGACCGAAGCCATTCACATAAGGAGATACCAACCGCAACCCAACAGAGATACAGGTGTTTATTTATCACATGCCTATGACCCTTTAATTAAATAACCCCACCCCAAATTTTGTATTTAGATTGTCACCGGCATCTTACTAGTTTTTTATGATTTATTTATCATCACATTGTACGATTATAATCACCACCAACCCACCATTATAATCAAGAAGTAATTTACTACATCCCTTTAATGGTTTCTATAATCACACACCCTTGTGATTACCCCTACATAATTGATTAATGTATTCCTATTGTTTTAATCCTTGTTATTGTTGCCCCACACTATATATCCTGAATGCCTTGTTATTTTGTATCATTGCTTGATAAAGACGAAAGAATCATCGTCGAAACGTCGCAAGTTATTTATTAAAGTAATTGTTATCCATATAATTGTGTTCGTGTTAATATCATCAATTACTAAATGCCACTCAAGGAAGTGTATAGTAGACTCTGGTCTGTGTGATTTTCTGAAAAAAAAACAACATTACATTTACTAATATAATTGCTAGGTTTAGTCTTTAAAAGCTATAAATAAAGTAACCGACAATCGACATAGCCCTACTAAAATAAGTTCTCAAAGTTGTTGGAAAATAATTATTAACACAAACAAGAACCGGAAATTCTACCTGGGATATAGCAAACTTCTACTACTACTTCAACCCTGATTTTGAAAATTAACAATTGCCGTCGGAGCAAGTTGTCCACGTCTTTATCTCGAAATTACGTGTCACAAATTGAATATTTTTTCCGTTTTCTTATATTTCTTAAATAAAGTGAGAAATGTACCTATTTGAAGATGCCACACCAATTGCGACTGCAGAACTTTGAATTGAGAGAGACTATTTCCAAATTGTTTTCATATCCATTCTTGGGAAGAGTGAAGAAAAATGCCAATATAGGGCTTAATGCATTTTTTAAGAGTATTCTTTCAATATTATTGCATTTTAACAATCAAAAATTGCATATTTCAACAAACATGTTTTGAACAAAAGTTAAGTTACCATGACAGATGATTTGTGATTATTTAAGATTTAGAAATGTTTTATAGTTTGCCCAAATTTCTGTACAAATAAAGAAATCTCCCATAAAAGAATGGTTGGAAGGGGATATTAGTGATATATCTCGTTCCAACTCAGCCAAAATATGGCAGTATAACATGGCGCGAAGTATTTTCTCATCGCTAGCATCTACCACTGACCAGTGATCTAAAATCCTTCAAAAAGACATAATGTTATCACGTGCAATCACTCTGGCAAGTTGCGTCTTGCCTTTACTTCAGTCATCGAAATATCTGGAAGCACAATTGAAAACCTTCGAGAGAACTGTTTTAAATTTGAACATGAAAAGGTTGTTATATTATTTTTCATCGAAAACCAATGGAATTTTATGAAATTGACTTGTAGTTATGTAACAGTATGTGTTTTGTATCATATAACACTGAGTACAGGCTGTTTGGTTGGTAGATGACAAGTTAACGTTCGCTTCCAGCGGATGCTGATATCGCAAACTACCGCAAACAGGCTGTTTAAACACGTTCTGTATTAATACTGCTTAGCATGCTGTTATAGGTTATAAAATCTATATTGGTAAACTATTTCTGGTTTTGCTATATTTGGTTTATATAATTTAGTAATAATTGTAATTATGTTACGTTCGTTATTTTAGTTTTCTGAGATTATATCGACTTATATCATAGTTTTGAAATTAAGTTGATGTGCACAGAAAAGACTTGTGTCTAATTATAAACCAATTTGTGTTTAATTGTACATCGGTTAGTAAGCAATGCAATTGATCGTACTGTCTAACGAGGTTGTATATCACATGGTGTAATTATTTGTTCGGTGGTTGGTTTTTAATAAGCTCGTGCATTGTTCTATTGGTTGGATCTGGATAGCTGCTGGTATAAAGCTTGAATTGGCTACAGTGGCCCAGTAAGCCTGTAGAATACTCCTATTCGGAGTTCTGCAGTGTCGTATCTTCTAGGATCAACCAGAAATGGTCTGACATGTTACGGAACCTCGACACCGCAAGATACCAGATTGATCCGAAGATACCAAACCAAACCAAACCATCCATGTGTAGCCATCTGCAAAGTGGCAACCAGACTCCGGACCAATAACGTACTACGAGACCATCAGTTCAACGCCATTAAATGTCGCTGTTGCCACAAGGTCGCATGTCCTCATTCAATGCACTGAACTGAAACCCGCTCGTAAGCCACTACTAGAGTACCTGGAAACCAACGGCATACCACTAACCATACAGAATGTTTTGGCTCCACCCACGGACCACTGGTATACGATAATGGAACTAGTCTTCCATTTTATAACCAAATCTGTCTTGAACAGATAGGCTAAGTTTTTTTTACTCAAAGTTTCTTAACACTTTTTAATTATATCCAATCAATTTAACAAGTTTCATTGCAGAAACATTAGAGAACATCTCTCCCCCCTTTTGTGAAAGCTTCCCCTCTTTCCTCCCTCTTTTTCTCACTTTCTTTTTTTTCTTTTTTTTTCCAGGTCTTCGAGTTTTCCAACAGATAACAGATAATCTAACCAAACCAAACCAACGACTACCAATCAACAAGAAATACCATGATAAGAACGAGTTTGGAAGAATGAAGGAGACCGAGTAACTCACGCCACACCATCCAGGGCCGAGTTTCACCGCCATGTCATTCGACCCGACCAGATCTAACGAAGAATCAACAACCAAACCAACAACACCGAATCATCCAATTTGATCCAATCCAACTACCAACTACTACGACTACCAACAACTACCTAGTTTGCGATATCAGCACCCGCTGGAAGCGAACGTTAACTTGTCATCTACCTACCTATCTACCAGTCGCCCAGTACCCACATGTGAGATAGTTGGAGTGCGCTGCTTACTTCTGTGGTCCTATTCCACAAACTGGTAACTATATTTTATTCTTTAGATCGTATGTTAATGTGACGTCTACTAATTGTGGAAGTAGATGAGGTAATGTTTGTCACTCATTCTAATATGTTTTGTATATGATTTAATGTTAGTCGCGGGCTATGGATAATATTTATGGATAATATTTATGGATAATATTTAGATGTACTTTACGCCGAAGATATTGATTTGTCATTGTCATTTCAGGGCTATTTATTTTGGTCGGTGGTACTTTAGCACTAGTCCTTAGACACCTTTTTTACTAATGGTATGATGGTGTAGATCTAATTAGTAATGGCGGAATGCATTGGAAGCCTCCGTATTGGTATTTAGCACATATCCACATATCCGACTTTCATGTGGTGTATTTCTTAGATGTAATGTGTGTAATAAATGTATGAAATTGTAATCTGTAATTCCATCCTTCGACCCAAATACGTGGCGAGTCCCAGATTCCATCTTGCATAGGGGCGTGTAGCTGCGACAGTTATCCGCACTGAAAAGCTGGTTGGAAAAAAACCAATTGGGCGTCCAAAAAATGCCATAATTGAACCTGGAATATTCCTTTTCAGTGGTTTTAAGAACTAAAATCTAAAGACAATACCAATTAATCCCAATCATTATTTTATTAGCACTATTAATAACATAATATAAAAACAATAAATGTTTACATGAATATATGTTCATTAAAGTCTAAATTAACATAAAAATCATGATAATTATAATATTGACAATTTATATCTTTATCTATTTTGATATAATATTCATCTTTAATCTTCATTTCACTTTCTTCTAATAAACTGACATCTTGTACAATACTCAACATTTCTGATGATGTCATAATATATGATGGTATAGATGGTTCTAGCTCATCAAGGTCGATAAATGATGACGTCATGCTTGAAGGATGAATAATTAAGTGATTCTTGTTGAAGATTGTGTAAACATTCTTCTGTTATATAACAATCTAAATGTGGTATATTAATATCTTGTGATAAGAAATATTAGTTGAATTAATATTAGATAAACTGTTCATAGAATAATCATATAGGTTGTCTTGTAGTGCAGAAATTGGGACCGGTTCTTGTAAATCACAATGGTTAATTCTTTTCCTAGAATCAGGATATTGACATTTTTCTTTACAGAAGTCCGATTCTTGATTATTTCTGTTAAATCTAGGATTAAATAATTCTTTTCTCATTTTATCAACATGATTCTCTTTATTTAGGCGTTTTTCTTTACATCTTCTGTTCTGAAACCAAGTCTGAAATGAAGAAATTAAAATCATGAATAATGATATGAGGTGTTTTATGTTAATTTATAATGATAGAAGTCAGATATTGTATAGAAGTTAAAATCTGTATAAAATAATCTATATTCTACTTACAGCTAATTTTTCTATATCTAGATTTAGTGTATCACAAAGTTGATCAAAAACATAACTGTCTGGATAATGATTTTCTTGAAATATTCTTCTAAAATATTCAACTGAAAATAAAAAACATTTGAATTAATTGATGGTTTATAAATTTAGATATAAAATAAATAGATATAAAATGATGTTATGTCGTGAGCTTACTGTCTCTGAATATCTGATATCAAGTACATGTCAGTTTTTTACTGGTTATTTTAGATGATTTATAGAGTCTAATATAAATATTTATATGTCTGTATTATTTACCTGTTTACGTGAATATTTGGTTCTTTCTCGTCTTCTAACACCTTTAAAAGGTTGTTTTGTAAATTCATTACAATTTATAACAGTTTTCATTTTAACTGATAAAGTATTTTATAATAAATTGTAGAAAACAGAATGTAGAAATAATGATACATACTGATATTATTTCTCTTATATAGTAAATATGTAGCGGTATTTTATAACATGTATCTTGTTAAATGTTGATAAGGAAATAATACATAATGATAAATATACATTGCATTTAATCTAATGTTATTAATATATTGATTACAATACTTTAGTTTTCGGGGAAGGGAGGGTTTGATTCTCCCAAATGTACAGGCCTAGGGTGGAGCAGACACTTTATTTAGAAATTAGGATTAAGGATCTTGATATTGGGTTTTCTTCTGTTCTTATTCTGATCTGAAATTAGAAAAAATAACTCGCCCCATGGGCGAGAAGTATAGTGTCTGTTATGTACTGATGTTTTTAGTTTATTATGAACAATATTATCATTTAAGTTCTTATTTTTTGAATATGCAACTATCATTTTCTGCTTATAGACATGGGGGAATTTCTCTTGAAGGCTCTTATAGTGGGCATGAACCATCTTGCTTGCTCGATTGCTGGTTGTATTAAACGGGACAACAAAGGGTGCTATGCCTACATTATGATGAATATTTAGTCCTATAGGTCTTGCTGTATTCCATGTCTCAATCCAATGGGCTTCCCTAGATTGACGGAATTTGGTAGTTTCATCTTCGGTAAGTCAATTTCTATACGCTCAATTGGGATTAGGGCGAGATCGTCTATTGAATGGTCGTCGAGGTTGAAATGATTAGAAACAGGCTTTCTTTAATTTGATGTCTGACCTATGAGCATTAAAGCGAGTTCGTAAGTTATTCTTAGTTTCTCCTACATACTGTTTGGGGCATTTCTTGCATGAAATTAAATATATTACATTCGAATGTTCACATGTTAGATGTTCCTGGATCGGGTACCTTTTATTCGTAGAGTTGCTTACAAAATAATGAGTTCCTGATATAAAGGGACATGTTTTGCATCTACTGGACAAACATGGAGCACTTCTTAAACCTGGAGGTACTTCGGCATAAAGTCTGTTTTTAGCTGCTATCTGTGCTAAGGTGGAATTTGTTATGTTTCGTAAAAATTGTTTAGAGTACCCACGCTCTTTCAGTTTTGAGAAAACAATCGTACAGGCTTGGTTGAAATCAGAAGATCTTGTACAAATTCGATGAAATCGTAAAACTTGTGACTTAATTATACCAGAAAAAGGTATGTTTTGGGTGAAAGGAGCTCTTGTGCAAGAGTTGATGAGTATCAGTTTCTTTGAAATACACTTTAATATCCAGTTTATTTGTTTTTGCTATGGAATCTCCCTTAAAGACTGTGGTATCGAGAAAGTCTATGCTTTTGTCACTCACGTTTGCGGTTAGTTTGATAGAAGGATGGTGGTTGTTGAGAATTTCAAAGAATTCCCAAAACTGTTCGATAGAATAAGTCCAAACCATAAAAATGTCATCCAAAAAGCGTCCGTAAAAAAGTGGGTCAAATGGACAGAGGGGCAACACCTCACGTTCCCACTCTGCCATGAAAAGGTTTGCGTACGAAGGAGCGAATCGTTTGCCCATTGCTGTCCCTGAAGTTTGTAAATATGTTTTACCATTAAATGTGAAATCTTTTCGACTAAGACAAATCTTTAAAAGCTGTAGAATTGCATCGTCGGGTCTGTTTGGATCTGGGTTTCTATTAAAAGCTTTACGAACTGCCGTTAAAACATTAGTGTTATCGATATTGGTATACATAGAAGAAACATCAATAGAAATTAAAATAGCATTAGAGGGAACTCGAAGATTTTTTATTTTATTGACAAAATCGGTTGTGTCTTTAAGGTAGGCGCGATGTTGACATGCTAGAGGTAGTAAGAAATGATCAATGTATTCTGACACTGCATATGACTCACTACCACAGTCAGATATAATCGGGCGGCCTTTAGGGATTTTATTGGAGATAAACCACTCCTTGGTTGGATTCTTATGGATTTTAGGCAAAGTGTACAAATGTCTCTCGCGACAATCAGGTTTGGCAGACAGATAGTCATATTGTTTCTGTTTGAGATAACTAGTTTTGACTAAATCGGCAAGAATATTGTTAATCATGTTAGCAGTTTCTTTGAAAATAGGTTTCGGTAAAATGGCATAATGTTGAGGATTATTCAGTTGATTCTCTGCTTCTGAAACGTAATCCTCCCTATTCAGAATGACACAACATGAACCTTTGTCACTCTTTTTAATAACAATGCTATCGTCTTTCTTAAGTAAGTTTAACGCTTCACGTTCCACTCGTGTGAGATTAGGCTTTTCGTGTGTTATGGAAAGGTTCACTGTTTGGCTATTCATACTCGCAAATGCTTTCAATATTTCAGGATGGATGGCGGCCTGAGGGGGTGTCCACGTGGATTTAGGAATAAACATTGTTCTAGCACCACGTGGGGGGTGGTTTCGAAAAAAATATGTGCAGCTAAGATTTCGTTGAAATCGTTCAATGGATGGTCGGAGATAATTCAAGTTAGCTATCTTTGGTGTGGGAATAAATTTTGCGGCTCAAGTTAACTACAGTTTGGCCTAGCGGTGGCCTCTCAGTATTTTTATCCCCAGTAATTAGTTTAAAGACTTACTCGATGCTTGAAGCTGGTGTATCCAAAACAAATAAATGCTGTTTGCTGTTTCTGAAGATTATCAACTGGTTCGAATTCTTCTTCGTAGGGTGGTAAGGTTGTTGCGCTGTTGATACTGGACTCCATCATCATGTTGTTGGGAGTGCTGAGGTTCTGTTGTGCTTTCTTCGAGATTTTATTTGAAATGGGTATACATGTGAAGAGGATCTTGGAGTTTGGGAAGGTTTTGTTGGCTGTGGCGATTAATTTCTGGGCTTGGTTAAAGGAGGTCTTTGGTAGCTGATCACGGTTGTTGAGGCCTACATGAAGAATAATGGTAGTAGGTTTGGGATCATGGTCGTATGATTCCAGGATTGACTGTATGTGATGGATTTGGGCACCGGGGTAAGAATGTATTTCAGTGTCTGAACTGG